AACCCCCTATCGATCTTATATTTTGCTCCTCAACAAATATTATATATATATATATATATATATTTTTTTTTTTTTTTCATTTTATTTTCCCTCGTTTTCTTTCTTTCTTCCTTTTCTTTTTTCACCATTTTATTTATTTATTTATATATATTATTTATGCGTGTGTGAGTGTTTATACGTGCGCGTAAAGGTGTTGCGAATAGGGGATGAAAGTGGTGGTGAAAAAGGGTACGCGTGTGAATAAAACCTAATTTTTTTCTATGTATATTTGACCCCAAAGTTGCGATCTTTGAAATTTTTAAAATTTTTTTCCGGATGCGGGGAGGGGAGGAAGGGAAAAAGGGGGGTGAAAGGGTAGGGTAGGGAAAAAAATTAAACTGGATTGTTTGTTTTTTTTTTAAGGGGATCCGAAAAAATCAAAATTTTAACGATTTGCAAAATGAAAAAAACGAAAATAATCTCTTGGGTGTAAATTTGAATATTTTTCTTTTTTTAGGAAAAATAAAATAAGAATTGGAAAATTACTTTTCTTTTTTTTTGGGGGGGGGGAAACGAAAAGAATCAAAAAGGAATTGAAAAGGAAAGAAAATGGAAAATCAGTTTTCCAATACGGGGAGGGAAAAAGGAAAATGGAAAGGAAAGAAATTATTTTATACAATAATGACCGACTTAAAACTTATTGTTAATTAATTTTTTAAAAACTTTCCACCGTGTTTTTCCTTTTCCCCCCTCCTCTCCCCATCTTCCTCCTTCCCAACACGATTTACAACAACGGAGACAAAAAACGATTTTCTTCCCGACTTAACGCCAGTGACAAATTTTATTAGCGTGACCTTTGACCCTATTATACCTTTTTAAAAAAAATCACCGCACATGCAAAAAAAAAGAAAATTTTTCTTCGACGAACGTTTTCCTTACACCCCCCCCTCCCCCTCCCCTCCCCGTAATAATTTTATTGATAAAACTTCATTAAATAAAATTTAATCATCATCATCATATTTGAAATATTTCCCTCAAACAGAATTACCAACCCTTCGTTTTTTTTTTTTTTTTTCAAACGGCTCATTGAACTCATTAAAAAAAAATGTAACGATAATAATAATAATAATGATAATGATAATGATAATAATAATAATAATAATAAAATCCACGATATTTTTTTTTTTTTGTTAAATTTTAATCAATTTATCTCAACGCCACAACATTTTTTTTTTTTTTGGAACGTCAACCACCGGAGAACATTTTCCAGTCAAATCAGTTAAAAAACACGTGATTATTATTATTATTATTAAAAAGGTCAACGTTGTTTCCAGATAAAAAAAATTTTTTTTTTAAATCCGACAACCTTTTCCCGGGTATTTTCCGTCAATTTTTAATAATAATAATAATTTTTTCGTTCGTACCTCGAAGGTAAATTTATAAAATCGGGTTTTCACACTTTATTATAATTTTTTTTTTTTTTTTTTTTGTAAATCGAATAAAAAAGACTAAAAAGACTAAAAAGAAAAAAAATGTCGTCTGCTAGATATGTTGGAATCGAGATTAAATAAATAAATAAATAATTTTTTTTTTATTTTTTGCTCTACATTTTCGGTTTTAATTTCATTTCCGGCAACTTTCCCTTTTCCTTTTCCTTTGCATCCGCGCATTCCGACCATTTTTCTCATTTCAAACATTTCTTACGCATCCACACGCACACTCACGCACTCTCACGCACTTTCACGCACTTTCAATTTTTTTTTTATCGCAATAAGTCGGTTGACAGACAGACACACACAAACAAAAAATATGTTAAAACAAATAAAGAAAAAAAAAAGTAATTTGTGTGGGTGTGTGGTGCGCGTTCACGAAAAGGTGACATTTTTTCTTCTGCTTTTTTTTATTTTTTTCGATTTGTCACGACATTTTTACGTTTTTCCTTTATAAAATAAATTGTTACGACCTTACCTGTCAGAGATGAAATGAAGATTTTTTTTCTTTTTTTTTTTTCTCTCGTGCGGTTTCGAATCAAATATCCGGATAAATAATAATGATAATATGAATCTTTCTTACTTACCTAAAAATAAAAATAACAACAATGATAATAATAATAATAAAACTAATAATAATAATAATAGTGACAGCAAAAGAAAAAAAAAGAAAAAAAAAGGATTTTAATTGACCACACACACACGTGGGCACGTTAATTTGTTTTCCCTTTTCTTTTCTCTTTTTTTCTTTTTATTACGTAATTTCAATATGGCGTCGTGATTTTAATTGTTTACATAATAATAATAATAATAATATATTGTAAATAAAGATATTAGAGTCCGTTATTATTTGTCGATGGAAATCGTACGTGCAACGTAAAATTATTTACTCGCGGTTTGAAAAAAATTTTCTCCCTCTTTTCCCTTTCCTCCCCGGAAAATTTATTCAAATTTATTTAAATTCATTATTTACGTATTTATATTATGTAACCGTTATAATAATAATAATAATGATTATCGTATGTAACGTATAATATATATATATAATATTGTTGCGTGAATTATGAAATATGCATACATACACTTTTGACGTTTATTAGATTTTGCCTTTTATTCAAAACGTGACACGTTTTCGGTATATTTATTTATTTTCCTCCCCTTTCCCCTCCCTCCCCCCCAATTTATTAAAATTCATTACGTGATAATGATGATGATGATGAAGTTAATAATGATTTTTTACTCTACTCTCTTAAACCGTCATAAAATAAATAAATAAATAAAAGCGTCAAATAAAAAATAAAAATAAAAAAAATAAAAAAAATGATTAATAATAATAATAATAATAATAATAATAATAATAATAATAATAATAATATTGTTATGAAAATTTAAATAAAATTTTTTTTTTAGTAATCATAATGATGATGATAAAAATAATAACCTGCCGTTGTCGTCGTCGTCGTCTGCTGCCACATATGAGAAAATAAATTTTTTTTTAATTTATTTTTTTTTTCTCCTATTTTTAACCAACATTATTATTATTATTTATTTTTTTCCATTCCCCTCCTCCCTCCCTTCCCCCCGTTTTCGAGTAAACTTTTTTTTTTCTATTCTTTTCCATTCTTTTCTTTTCTTTTCTTCCCTCGTACAAAAAAAAAAAAGAGAAAAATTTATTATTAACGAGAATATAGAAGTTCGTTAAAAAAAAAGAAAAAAAAGGAAAAATGCACTTCGGGTTTTTTGTTTTTTTTTTTTTTTTTTTATTACTTTCCTTCGTGATTTAAGAGTTTATAAAAAAAAAAAAAAAAAAAAAAAAAAGGAAGAAAAATTCTTTTAATTTATTTTTAATATAAACTAAAATTTATGAACGTTTCCTAAATTGTAAGAAGAAGAGTTTAGAAGAAAAAAAAAGTAAAAAAAAAAGTTTTTCTTAAAAAAAAAAAAACGATTTGAACTTTTCTCGCTTTTTTTTTTTTACTTAAATAAATTATAGAAAACATTGAAAATTATTATTTACGTATGTTTATAAAATGACGATTACGAATAATAATAATAATAATAATAATCGTAGAAGTAAATAAAAAAAGGAGGGGGGGGAATAAGAGAGAGAGAGAAACAGAAAATGGAGGAGAAAGTCAGTCGGTGTCAAAAGTTGAACGATAACAAATCGTAAATGAATTAAAAAATAATTCTCTGCGGTGAGACGGGGAGAGGGGAAACTTAATTTTCCGATAAGAAATTAAAAAAAAAAAATTTAACATGATTACGTTAGAGTTCGTACACGCACACGGACACGCACGTGAGGTACCGTCGGGCGATAAGGTGGACAAACAAAGAAAATGGAAAAATTCAAAAGACGAAATCCCATAAGACGAAACGAAAAGGACGCGATGAGAATAGGAGGGAAAGAGAAGGGGAGGGGGTAAAACCGGAAACCGGAAAAGTTTTAGAAAATACACGACATCCGGTCATATTTATCAGATTAAAAAATCTTACCCAGATTGTTTTTTTTTCTTTCCCCCCCCCCCCCAAAAAAAAAAAATCATTATCATCATTTAATATTTATTTACCAAATGATGATAATAACGCCTTTTTATTATTATTAATATTAAACAAATCGAATTTTCAATAGCAGACGACGTTATCAATTTCGAATCATAGAGTAAAAAACAAACAAAAATTTCCATTTCCTTTTTTTTTCTTTAATTAAAATTCCCGCGTTTTAAAACGCAAAAGAGAGAAAAAAATTAATTTTTACATTTTATTCCGCGGCAGCCATTTTGAAAATTTCATTTTAATGTAATTTTAATAATGATAATAAATAATAATAATAATAATAATAATAATAATAATAGTAGTAGTAACGATAATTATTATTTATAGCTTATTTATTTGTCATTTAATAACCGTCATTAAGTTCAATTATAATATTCATATATATGGGAAAAAGGAAAACTAATTTAAAACTTTTTTTTTTAATAATCATTTGGAAAATTTGATAGGGAAAAATAATGATGATAATGATAATGATAATAATAAACACACGTGATAAAAACTCTGAGGTATTCGTTTCCGTTTTGTTTTTTAACAAACACATACATAAAATAAATCATTTTGTTTTGTTTTGTTTTTTGAAAAATCGTCTTCGAAACACGTAAATTTTTTTTTTTTTTTTCGTCTAGTGACACGTCGTTTATAATTTTAAAAAAAAAATAATAATAACAAAAACCGAATAAATTTATCGTAGTCGTTATCATCGCCTTTTTTTTTTCAAATTAAAAATTTTTAAACTTTTTATTAAAAATAATAATAATAGTTTGTAAAAAAAAATATTCGTTATTATTATTAAAAAGGGGGCAGGGCGGGGGGAGGGGATTTAAAAGTTACAGTACGCGAACGTTCGTTTATAGAAAGAAAAAAAAGGAAAAAAGGAAAAAAGGAAAGGAAAAAAGGGATCCCACCAATAATGTGAGAGAAGAGGTCAAGGATTTTCTTTTTTCTTTTAAATCGGTGTAAAAAGCCATGAAAAATTTATTTTCTGCGACATCTGCGGAAACCCTTTAAAAGCTTTATAAACCAGATCGATTTCTAACCTTTTTTTTTTTTTTTTTTTTCGTTAAAAAAAATTATTTATTTTTCTTTCTCTCCTGTCGCTTTTCCCCCCTCGACTTTGTCTCGTTAACTACCACAAACAAAAAATAAAATAATAATAATAATAATAATAACGATGACGATCGACGACGATGACGATGACGACGTCACTTTTTTTTTTATTATTAACTCGATTACATCGTTTAAAAATAAAAAAATTATTTAACTCATTGTTTAATCATCATTATTATTATTATTACCATCATCATCGTCATCATCATTATCATTATTAACTAAATAATAGATTTTTTTTTTTTTGTTTTTGTCTTCCCGCTGTCGTTTTTGTTGTTTTTCCTTTTTTTGTAAATAATCCGGTTTAAAAATACGATCGAGCATGCGTCGTAAAAACAAAAAAATTTAAACAAAAACCGACGACGATAATAATAATAATAATAATAATTTTATAAATAATTTTTTTTTTTTTTTTACCCGTTTTCGTGACCGATTTTTAAATGTTGCGACACGCGAACCACAACACACGCACACGCACACGCACACACGCACGTGGTTATTATTTTTTGTTTTTGTTATGGAAAAAAGTTGATCGACAGAATTTTTAGCCTTTGAATAATTTAAATTTTGATTTATTTTTGACAAATTTAATCGTTAACGTAATTTATTACGAAAGGTGAAGGGGAGGACGGGGGGAGAGTGGAAAGATGGCGTGGCGTGGCGTGGCAGAAGAAAGGCGGTCCGTCCGTCCGTACGTCCGTGTTTATAATTGTTATTATGTAAAATAAAAAATTCATAATTTTTTAAATTTTTAACAGAGTTCAAACCGGAAGTGAATTTCTTTTGTTTTACGACGACAGTTACGATAAACATTTATGATGAAGGTTAACAACTTACATAAATATTTGCATAGAGTTGATGAGTCGAATTATGTTGTTTGATTATTCTAGAAAGTCTTTCCGTTCTTTGACTACCGGATAAAGGCACTTGTGTCATTTTTTTTATTCCGTTAATATTTCCGGCGGCGGCGGCGGCGGCGCTATTATCGGCGAATTGTTTCGAATATTTTTTGGCGGTGACAACATCTGATTTAATAAAAGAACCCGACGAATCCGCGTCGTCCATATTATTGTTGTTGTTGTTGTTCGAACCCGGTTCTTTTGTTCGGGTGACATCGTCACCCGAAATATTTCTCACAATGTGTTGCATTATTATATTTTCCGTAAATGCCACACCGCATTTTCTTTTCCTGTTTCCTGTTTTCATCAATTTGTCATCGTACTTTTCGTCGGATTTAGTTTTTTCTTCGGCACCGTCGTCGTCGTCGTCGCCGTATGTTTTGACATACGTTGTTGTTTTTTTTTTCCTTGTGACCGTCGTCAACGGCACGGTTTTTGCAATTATGGATTCCGTAACGATTCCCGAATTCACTCCGAAACGTTTCAAATTCATAAAATCTCCGATGCTACCCCGTAAATTATCTGATTTTTGCATGTGTCGCATGTAATGAGCCTGGGGACTGTTCGGCGTCGAAATTGATCCGTTTTCGTATGGCTTACTCGTGACGGTCAGCGAAATATCTGACGCCTTCTCTTTCAGAAGACCTTCAATTTTATCCATATCAGACATGCTCGACCTTCGTCGGTTCCTCAATTTATTTAAATTTTCAACGCTCGAACGACCGTACGACCCGATATTATCCGAGGTCGTCATCATTTTTTTTTTCCCGATTATGTTTTCCTCGCTTAGGTAGTTTTTCAAATTTAAACCTCCTTCATTATTATTATTATTATTATTACCAACGTCGTAATTACCGTTATCGGTTTCTGTTAAATTATTAAAAGACGATTTGAGTGATAATAATCCGGTACGTAATGGAAACAATAGAGCCCATTCGGTTGTACGTTGAGAATTTAACCCATCCACATCATCCATTATTATTATTATTACTTTTCGTAGGGGGGGGGGATATTTTAAAATTGAATTACATCAAAAAAAAAAAAAGGGGGGGGTTTATTTTCCGTACGTTTAAAATCTAATTAAATTTCTATAAATATCCTTCTCAATAAATAAAGAAAAAAAAAATTTATAAATCACGCACACATAATAATAATAATTAATAATAATAATAATAATAATAATAAATTTGACGATTTTTTTTAAAAGGCTAAAAATCAAAATTTTTAATAAAGTTTTAAAACAACCACTTGTTGATAGCAGACAGAAAAAAAAACACTCGCGAAAAATAATTAATAAAATATATGCAGCACGTTTGAAAAAAAAAAAAAAATTTTATATTTTTTCCCTCCCCCTCCCTTCCTCTCTCTTCCTCTCTCACTCTTTTAATTAAATAACACAAAACTTTAAAACTTTTATTATTATTATTATTATTATTATTATTATTTATAACTTTTAACTTGTGTAATTTCGATTCGTGCTCAAATATAACCGCGCAAAAAATCAAAACAACAAAATTTTACGATTTTCCGTCACTAATTACGCTATGACGATGATAATAATGATGATGATAAAAACACGTTTAAACTAAACCGAACGAAATTTAATAATAATAATAATATTTTTAACCGGAAAGTGTCATTATCACACTAACCGACCGACATTTAATAAATAAATAAAAAAAATTATCAAAAAGAAGAAGGAGAAAGAGAAAAAACGAATGAAAGACGAATAAAAAACCCGCATTTTTATCTATTTTTCCTTGTCGTAATTATTATTATTATTATTATTATTATTATTATTATTATTATTATTATTATTATTATTATTATTATTATGGGATAGTAATTAATTTTTGTTTTTTTTTGTGAAATTAATTTTCCCTCCCTTCCTCTTCCTCCACTCCCCACTTCCCACTCCCTTTTCCTCCCTCCTCCTACTCGCCCCTCCCGAATAAAAAAAAAAAGTTACGGTAATTAAACATTATACGACATGAATCGCGCATCTGTTTAAAAAATGGTGCCAGGTATTTTTGCCACGAATTAAAATTCGTGACACGACGTTTTTTTTTTTTTGTAAAAACGACATTGACGCTGTGGTTTTGTTTTGTTTTTTTTTTTTTTTCAAAAGGTTAAAAATTTTCTCTCGCTATCGTTTTTTAAATAATTTTTAAAAAAATTTTCTATTCGATTCGTTTTCCTCCCTCCCCCCAAAAAAAACAAACAACAAACAAGATAACTTTTAATTTAATTATTAATTCGTATATATACGTGTACAAATCAATTGCCGTGATTAAAATCCCGCCTCTCCCCCCCCCCAAAAAAAAAGTTTTAGTTTAGTTTCAGTTTAGTTTAGTAGCCAATAATTAATAAATCAAATTTAATCGTTACGTCGTTCGGTGGTGCGGAGGGGGAGGGAGAGAGGGTAAAGTGGTTAAAGAAAAAAGATTTTAAAATGAAAAATAATAATAATAATAATAATAATACGTCATAAATTATTTGACTTCTGTGTCTGTTTTTTGGTAGGAAAAAAAAAATGGCGGAAAAGAAATTAAAGTAAAAATAAACAACTTTAAAAATAATTCGAGTGTGGAAAACGGAAACCGATACGATAATAAAAATCACCGTGGGAGAATACACACACGCGCACGCACACACTCACATCGACACCATTTTGAAAAATGTTTGTAAAAAAAAAAAAAAAAAAAAAATTTTCCGGAAGGAGCCAAAAAATTTTATACGGAAAATCAAATTTCTTAAAAAAGTTTACGTACGAAAAGAAAAGAAAAACGTTCAAATATTTATTATTATTAGTGTAGTCGTCGTCGTCATCACCTTATCGAAATCGTTAATTAATAATTATCGGACGTGTCAGGAGAAAAGGCAAAAAAAAAATTTCGACTTTTTTTCCCCCCTCCCATTTCATTAATTGAAATCACACTAAGTAAAACAAATACAATTAAGTTTCACGTCGTGAAAACCTTTTCTTTTCGTCCTTCCTTCCCCCCCCTCCTCCCCTCCCTTCCCTTCCTTCTCTTAACCCCGAACTTGTTTTTTTTTCTTCTCCCACGTTCCTAATTTAATCAATCCAATATATATTCGGTGACATCATTCGAACTCCATAGAAATGTTTTAATTTAATTTTTCCCTTTTTTTTTCGTTTCTTAAGTAAAATAATGTATTTCTTTATTCGATGCTTTCCTTTATCTATCTAACGCCACGACAAATTTTTTTTTTCTCTCAATTTTTTTTTTTTTTTTTTTTTGGGAAGTTTTCCGAGTCGAATATACGAAATAACAAATACAATTAAAAATCGAAAAATTTTAATAAAATAAAAATTTCCCACGATTATCATCATCATCATCATCATCATCATTATTATTATCATCATCATTATTATTATTACTATTATCATTATTATTATTATTATTATTATTAAATTTCATAAATAAAGTTTACGATTTCTTAATAAAAAATATAAAAAAAATTTTTTTAACAATCGAAACGCGAATTAAATTCTTTCTATATATGAGGGAAAAAAAATGAAAGAAAATTTTCTCTTTCTTTTTTGTTCGAATCAAATAACATTTTCTTTTTCTTTCTTTCCCCCTCCCCTTCTCCTCCTCCTCCTCTCTCCCTTCCCCTCGCGACCCCCAATGTTCCATTTCAGATTTCTATTCATTCCAAAATAAAAAAATAAAAACCAAAAGATTCCGCGTGAAAACATTAAAAAAAAAAAAAAACTACCTCAAACAGTTTTTAAATTTTTTTTTTTTCAGTTGGCAATCGTGAAATAAAAACAAACAAACAAACAAACAGCAGTAGCAACATAACCAACGGCAACAGTCACAAGTCACACACACACACAGGCAACTATTGTTTCCAAAAAACGCGCGCCTTTATTATTATTATTATTTCAGCATTAAAAAAAAAAATTTAAATTTTTCATGCCCCATTTAACAAAAAGAAATGATAATGATAATAATGATAATAATAATAATAATAACTTTTTTCGCTTTTTTTTTTTTATTAAAAAGTCTTAAAAGCCATTTGCGAGTCAAATTTTTTTTTTTTTTTTTTTACTTTCCTACTTTTTATATATTAATGCAAAAAATAATTTACGGCGTTAATCTTTTCGCTAAAAAAAACAAACAAAACAAACAAAACGAAACAAACACAAACTTTTTTTTTCTTTTTTTTTTTTTATAAAAAAACATGCGAAAAAAATTTTAACGATAATAATAATAATGAGAAGAAGAAAATTTAAGGCCGCGAAACCGCGCGTCATTGCCAATTTGTAAAAAAAATACCTCTCGCGTTTTTTTTTTTTAAATAAATAAATAATATTATTATTATTATTAGTAGCAGTGGCAGTAGAATAATAATAACAATCGATCACAAAAAAAAGATAAATTATTTTAAACGTTCAATCAATTTCAAACTATCCGAACGTAATAAAGTATGTGTGATAACGTTTAGAAGAAAGAGAAACAGGAAACGACGTTGCTCGCACATGATCAGGAGCTTTTGAGGAAATCCCTCCATCCCCCCAGTCAACCCCCCTTCCCCCGAACGTAAAATTAAACTTCTTGACGAATTTTCGAACGTAAATATAGAGCGTGCGAATTTATATACTAACGCAAACACACACACACACACACACACACACACATACATAGCGCTATAATAGGAAAAACGTGTCATTAGTAAGTCGTACAACAACAAGTAACAAACAAGAAAATCGTTTGGAAAACACAAAGAAAAGCGCGGCGTTTAACCCCCAAAAAAATTTATTATTACGATATTTAACGTTTATCGTAAATGGATTTAAAGTGGTGAGGAGGAGGGGAAAGAGGGAGGGAGGAGAGAAAGAGAGGGGGAGAAAGGGAGGGGAGGGAGAGAGGGAGGGGCTTATCGAAAAATAAGCTTTTCTTTTTTTTTTTTTTTTTTACACCGTCACGAAAAGGAAGTCGAAATTTATTATAAAGCGTAAATTTTTTTCTTTTTTTTTCGAAAACGATTCGAAAAAGGTCGGGGAAAAAGAATGAAAGTGGATAAAATAAAAAGAGAGAGAGAGAGAGAGGGGTAGAGAGAAGAGAGAGGGAAAGGGAAGAGGGATGAAATAAAGGACGAAAAAAAAAAAAGCGTGAAAAATGAAATTGGAAAATTATCGTTGACGACGTGTCAGGTGAAATCGCTTTCACCGGAAAAACAAAAAAAAAAAAAAAAAAAAAAGAAAATTATTTACGGACGTTGTATATATGCATATTGCAAAAAGGGTCGAACGTGTGTAAAGAAAATTTTTTTTTCTTATAAATTTTCCCGCCCTTTTTTTTTAATTTATTTTTTTCTTTAACCACGTTTTTTTTTTTTTTTTTAAAAAAAAAAAAAAAATTAAGTTTTGTTTTTAATGCGTTTGTTGTAATTTTGACCGATTCTAAAAAATCCTTTAAAAAAAAAAAAAAAAAAAAAAAATTTCTTTTCTAAAATTCTATTCTAGTTACACGAAAATTCCATTAACCCCGGGAGATTGGAAAAATTTCCAATCAACATAAAATTTTGTTTCCGTTTGTTATTTATTTATTTTTTTTAATAACTCAACCGTTTTTTTTTTTTTTTTTTTTTTTTTTAAATTTACTTTTTAGAATAAATTTAAAAATCATCAATGTTTTTTTTTTAAGTGGAAAAACTATTGGTGATAATATTGGTGATAATAATAATAATAATAATAAAAACTGTCTAAACCCACGTATAATTTTTTTTTTTTTTCGTCAAGGTTCATCCTGTATAATTTTCAAGATCGGTTCATTAGAATATGTGGGTCGTGAAAATCTAAATTATTATTATTATTTTTTTTTTTTTTTGGTGTCGATTCATTTCCTGTTTTCGTTTGTTTGTTTGTTTGTTTTGTTTTTTTCCTTATCATTAACGACAATGATAGGTTTGACCTAGTTAACTAATTGCTAATTATAACGTTTTTAAAAATTACACGAAAAATTGATTTGCAATTTTTTTTAAATATTTTTTTTCTGTTTTTTTCGTTTGTCTGTTGCGTTTGTTTATTGCGTTTGTTTGTTTGTTGCGTTTGTTATTTAAAAGAAAAAAAAAAAAGAAAAGAAACTTACATTTATCTGTTGAACAACTATGTTGTACGCTCTGTGCCATCTTTCCTTTGCTGTATACTTTCGCCTTTCCGGTACGGGTACTTTCATTGATTCTTCCGGTTCGACTTCGAAACATATCGGTTTGTCATCTTCCGGTAGTAGCGAAGGCTCGTTCGGTACTTCTTCCTCTTCGATACCTTCTAAATCTACGTTTGGTTGTTTTTGTATTGCCGGAGGAGAAGTCGGATAGTCTTTGGCAATATCACGATCGACATCGTTCGGATGATACGGTTCGATTAAACTGTTATCGTGCCCGCTACCGCGTTTCCGAAAACCGTCCATGTGATTCGATTCCATCATGCCGTGCCGTAAAGCGTCCGGTACGCTTACCCGCGCGTTATCGTACCTGTTGTCCATGACAGGGGAAGAGGGTTCGCTTATCATACTCGAATGTCGCATAATTGGGTCTTTGTCGCAACTTTCCAAACTGTCTTGTTGCCTTAAATACCCTCGATTGCTGTAATCTGATCTTTTACCTTCGGATTCTACCGTATCCTGATGCCTTAAGTAACCCGTTTTTTTAGAAAACGAAGAATTGTCAGCATTTCGCGCTCGTTCCTTTCGAAGTTCCGATTCCAGTTGATCAAGTTCGCTGACGGGTTGTAAGTCTCCCTCTTTAGAAAAACCATCTTTCTCTTCATTCTCGTAATAATCTCTTTCATCGAAATCGTAATATTTATCTTGATTTTCAAAATATTCTTCTTCTTTTCTGTCGGAATATTCAGGCTCTTCAGGTATTATGTAATCTTGAACTTGATTATCGTAATAATTTTGATTACTTTTAAAACCATGTTCACTTTCTACTGAATCCTGTTGTTTTAAACTTCCTCTTTTTGATACGGTAGATATTTGATTTTCAATGGTTTTATGATCTTGCGGTGTGTGCTGTGACTCTTGATGTAATCGTTGTTGCTGTAGTAGTAGTTCTTGTTCTTGTTGTTCTTGAAATAGTTGTTGTTCCTGTTGTTGATGTTGTAACATTTGTTGTTCTTGTTGTTGCTGTAATTGTTGCTGATATTGTAGTTGTTGTTGTTGTTGTTGTTGATGTAATTGTTGCTGTTGTAATTGTTGGTTTTGCTGCTGCTGCTGTTGAGTTTTTTGTTGTCTATTGATATTTTGGACGGTATTATTTACAGCGTTTGATATTGAACTGAAAAATCCTTTTGTGACATTCATTGCCGCCAACGCTGGATTTGTCAACAGATTTGGTTGGTCCCTTGAGCGTTGATCTGGCTTCTGAGTTTGTTGCTGCTGTACATTTTGTGATGCAGACTTGGTTAGTTGACCAAAGAGTCCGCCTAAGACGCCTGTTGATGGCTGCTGCTGTTGTTGTTGCTGCGATTGTTGTTGTTGTTGTTGATAATGATGATGCTGCTGTAGCTCACGTTGAGATTGTGCCTGCGGTGTTAGCGTTTCTGATTGTTGCAATAAAGGCTTCGGTGGTTCGAATTTATAATCGTAACCAGGATCGACTGAAGAATATTCAGCGTTTCCTTTTTGTAAAGGTATAGACGAACAAATACTATCGACAGCAGTTTCAAAACTTTCGTCACGTAATTCATCGTCTCTACTTTCTAACGAATCCGTATTTTGTTGAACAAACGGACTGTTTGCTCTCCTATCTAAAAACTCTTTGTGCTTTTGTCCTCCGCGAACATCCGTTACATCAGTCTCATAATAATTTTTTAAATTATCCTCTTGAAAGTAATTAGGCGCGTAATATTTATCTTGGGAATTTTGATTTTGAATATTTTGATATTGCTCGGATGAATCTCCGACATCTTGATGATGATAAGCGTGGTCGGAAACATTTTGATAGTTATCAATTACTTCCGGATAATTTTCCTTATTTTCATAATTATCAAACTTTTCGGTGGTTTCATAATTTGTATTATAATTTTCACTATTTCTAACATCAGTCGAGTAACCACCACCACCACCACCAAACTTTTCATTCAATAAATTATCGCTACTAACATACGCATAATTATAATTTTCGTTAAACGTTCTCGAATCGTAAAAATCATTTTGTTCGTAGTCGGCGGATGTTGTTCTTGATACCGGAGCACTTACGCGTTGCTTATTAATAGCTGCCATGGGATTGGGTAATTGTCTTATGGGTGTTTGAGGCAATGAAACGGATGATGTTTTATTTCTCGAAACGGCTCTTATTTGAGGAAGAGTTCTTTTTTTATGCGGATGAACAGGGGTTGACACCGGTGACGCAGCGTTCACGACGGTGGAACCCGTAAGATTATAATCACTATAATAATAATTGTAATTTTCAGCACTTTCCCAAACGGTACCACTTTCATTCGACTGCCATCCGGTTGCCGATCCGTAATTTTCACTCGATTGACGTTGCTGTTTTAATAATTTCCGCCTCGCAGCCGCCGTAGTACTCATGGTACTACCACCGTTTCCATCCACCGTTTCGATTTCCCGACCATCATCTTTCACAAACGAAAAAAAAAAATTTTAATTGAAATTGAAACGTGATAATAATAATGATTTATATTAATTACCTCTTTGAGCGTTATAGTAAGCGTTATTTTGACTAGAATTTGAGTATACGTTAGCAGGTAATATTTTGGAAGAACGCCTTTTATTTACACGATTCTGGCAACTATTTGAATACATATCTGTATAATTACGTGGTTGAGAGTAATATCCCCCAGAATCCCATTGTTTATCTTCCTCTTCCTCGCCGTACCTTTAAAAATAATAATAATTAATTAATCATTTCATGTAAATAACAATTATAATAATCGTTTTATCTCAATCACCTTTCATTTTGATAACCGTAATCTTCATTATAATATTCGGTATAATTTTGAGCACCGTAATTTTGATATTGTTCCGGTTTTGTTCCCGTATTACTACCATAATATTGCTGCTGCTGCTGCTGCTGCTGCCCTGAATAATATTGATCATCGTATAAAGTTGTTTGTCTTTCTAAACTCGGTCGTCGACTGGCTTCTACAAAAAAAAATTTATTATTTTTTTTTTATCACGTAAAAATGAAAAGAAAATTTTCCCGATGACTCCAAACCCACCCCACCTTACCTCTTTTCCGTCGTATGCTATTCGGTTGTGAAGAATTTGATGACCAATGGGTTTGATTATAACCGGACAAATATTGATTATCGTACCATCCTTGACTATGGAGGGGGTGGGGGGCGAGAAAAAAAATAAAAAAAAAAAAACTTTTTAAATTAAAGTAAAAGAAAAAAAAAAAAGAAAAAAAAATTTTTTTTTTGTTGTTTCATTCATTTTTACCTTTCATCCGATTCCCAATTTTTTCTTCGTCTTCATTTTATTATAAAACCACCCCCGCCCCCGCCCCCCAAAAAAAAGAAAATAAATAAATAAATTCCAAACTTTTATTAAGTTTTTAAATAAATAAATAAATAAAAATTTTTTTTTTCTTTTTTTCCTCTTTTTTTTGTACCTTGAATATTCTTTGAAATTTCTCGGTCTGCTGTTGTAATATAACGGCTCCCCATCACCTTCATTGTAATTTCTATAACTCTGTTGATGATATGAATAATTTTGCGCGCTACATCCTCCTTGCTGATAAGAATTATTTGTGATTAAATGATTGTTCCCCTAAAAAACAGAAAAAAAATTTTCTATTTAATCCCATTCGATGCGATTAATAATAATAATAATAATAATAATAATAAACAAAAAGCGAGAGAGAAAAACTTTTTCCCCCTTGAAGAAACTTTTCCGCAACAATTTTTTTTTTAATTCGAAAAATTTGTTTTATTATTATTATCCACCATTAAACACGACAAGGCTACTTGTCGGAGTTTTTTAAGTATTTATCCGAGGTTTCTACCCGATTCCTTAGGGACAAATACTCGAATTTCGGTGGTGCCACTTATTATAAGATAGCACCACATCAATTCTTGAAGGTCTTCCTGAGTCCGTCTTTTTCGATGGGAACGATTTGTCTCCTGAACTGGGCTCCGGTGACTAACATCTTTGGAGTGGCCAGGGTCAGAAGCAGTGAAATTCACGTTCTCGTCGAGCTGCCTCAGGTCGACAGTAGAACAAGATTTTGTTTTTGGTTCTTACTTTGTCTTGTTCTCATTTTTTTTGCTCTTTTTAAGCCAACAGCACGTGGCGTTCTCAAACGGTCACCCATCCAAGTTTGCACCACGCCCGATGCTGCTTAACTTCGGTGATCGTACGGGAACCGGTGTGACCAGCACGCTATGGCCGTTGGCTTATTATTATTATTATTATTATTATTATTATTAGTTAACCAATTCATTAACAACTCGGGTAATTTTCCACTTTGCTTTTAGTTAATAGTCACGCCACGTTCAGGTGTCAGTCAAGTAATAATAAATTAACTAATTTTTTCTAACGGAATTCTTAACAAAAAAAAAAAGCAAGAAAACGTGGCGGCGGCCATTTTTGAAGAAAAAGAAGAAGGAAAAGAATAAACAAAATAAAAATTTTCTTTTTTTATATAATAACGTTTTTATTTTATTTTATTTTATTTTAAAACTTATTCAAAAAGTTTTTTCTTTCTTATTACGAGAACGTCATTTTAATATTAACGCCATCGTCGTCGTAAAAAAAAAAAAAAAAAAAAAAACTAAATTATCTAATGCGTAGGTAAATTTCTTATCATCGCTATATTTAAATTATTTTATATCATAATAATTGGCCATAAAACTCCTTACGCCGCTAAACTGATATAAGTGAATTACATGCAACGTTTCGTGCTTTGATTTTTATATTCGTATGTATTAAAAAAAAAAAAAAAAAAAAAGTCATACTTGCAAAAAAAAAGATAAATTTATAATAAATTAATTGTTTCAAAACTTTTTGTCACGTGACTATGTGTATACGTATGTATAAAACCCACGTTTGTTGCGTACAAACTCGAGCGAATTTTTCTATAAACCTTTGATTGATAATCAAAAAAATTTTACAAACGATATTAATGATGATGATGAACTCGAGAGGGGCGGAAGGTGGGCGAAAATAAAAACAAACATGTACGAAATAAATACAAGTGCAAAGGCGTAAAATAATAATAATAATACGACGTGACGTCAATCATCCCCCGCAATTTTCCCGTTTTTCCTTCTTTCGAAAACTTTTTAAATTTCGAATTTCCCCCCCTCCCTTCCCGCCCTTCCGGGTTTTTCCTTTTTAACTCACCCCCCTTCCGTCTAAACTCAGAAATCAAAAAAGAAATTGTCCTTCTTTTTAACTTTTTGAGGGTTGTCGTTCGTAAAAAAAAAAAAAAATTTTTTTTTTTTTAAATAAATATTAACAAATTACCTGAATGTGTACCTGACCAGGTATTTCATCCCTTTCGTATGAATTTTCACGGCTCGTTTCCAGGGATCTATCTGGAGTTCTCATGAGTTGAGCAGCCGATCTAAACTGACTTGCAGACGAATTGGGATGTTGTCCGATTGGATAATTTAAATCGCTCGTGTAATCGCTATCTTCCGAATACCCGGCTGAAATTTATTATTAATATTATTATTATTATTATTATTATTATTATTACTCACGCAGTTTTCCCGATTGAAAAATAATAATAATAATAATAATATTGAAAATTCCGATTCCGATACGATTTCTTTTGAAAATTTTAAAGTAATGGTTATAAATAATATATTTTTAAAAATTTTCAAACAAATATAAAAACAAAAAGTGAAAAGAGGAAGAGAGAAAGAGAGAGACAAAGAAAACGAGAGTGGGGGAAGAGAGGGGGAAGGGGAAGAAGATGGAGGAAAATTGAATCGGGAAAGAAAATTGACGCATTAGAGAAAAAAAAAAAAAAAAAAAAAAAAAAAAAAGTAATTAAGTTTTTATAGGTCATCCTTTAAATAAAAATAATTATTATTCCGTCTTTTTTTTTCCATCCCCCCCTTCTAGAATGTTCTACAAAGGCAAAAAAAAAAAAAATTATTTTATTTTATTTCACATTTAATTTTATTTAAATAATTTTTAACTTGAATCCTATCCCGTTTTCCTGTCTCCTAGAGAAAAACAAAACAAAAAAATTTTCTTTTTTCCCCCTATTGTTTCAAATTCATTTTTTAACCGAAATAAAAAATTTTCCTTTTTTATTATTATTATTATTATTATATTTTTCCAGTGAAAGTTTTAACGAAAAACCTTTTTCTCATTTGTACACATTTTTTTTTTTTTTTGACAATCGCACATCAGTTTAGATACATGTCAACTCCTTCCGGTTTTTATTTTTATTTTTATTTTTATTCAAAAGTTATTTTATATAGTTTTAAATTATTAAAACTTTTCAATAAATTTTAACGTAAAAAAGTTTTTGTTTTTAACTACGATGTGATATTCTCCATTTTTTTATATTAAATTTAAATCGATTTATCGAATCAGATACGAATAAGTTAATAAATAAATAAATAAATAAATAAATAAATGATTGCTTACAATGGCCGAAAAACATGTGCTGTCTTCTAACTTGTTCATCCTGACTCATTATTGTTGAATTCAGTCTTTCTAATTTTCTCTGCAAGGCATCACCAACGGTATTTTCCGCATCTGTTAACAAATAATAATAATAATAATAATAATAATCAATAATTTTTCATCATACGAAACGTGATAGATAGATACAGGGGAGATCTATGATGATAGGATATGAAATAGTAGGATAAAAAAAAATAGAATAAAATAAAATAAATTTTTCCATATAAAAATAATCGTATGAGTTATATAAGTTAAGTTAAACACGTGTTACATAAGTTAAACATGTGTTTAACACGTGGTAATCGTACCATTATACCATAAAATCCCTTTTTTTACAAAATGGACTTTAATTATAAATAAATAAATTCGACGACAAATTTTTTTATATATAAAAATTAAATATCGATTTCATTTCGTAATATAAATAAATAAAATTAAAAGTTTCAAATCTTTAAAAAAACAAATTCAACGTGTCACTAGAAAAAAAAAAATTATATATATATTTATATTCGCACTTTTCCGTTCTCGTTATTCTTGCATGCGAGAGCCAAAATATAAAAAAAAAAACCCGCATACGAAAAAAAAAAAAAAAAAACATGAGATTAATTATTCAAATTCCCCTCCCCCTCCCCTCCCCGTACTCCCATCCATCCACACTTTTAACCCCCATCGAATTTATATGTATACGTACACCCTATTTTACCCCCTTGATTCAGGGGGTAAACCTTTTCCATATAAAAAAAAAAAACAAAAAACCGTAAGGCACATGCGAAATGTAGAAATAGGAAAAAAAATATCACGGATTGTATAATTTTCGTTTTTTTTCCATTGTCGTTTCGATAAAGTGTCAAAAGAAAAAAAGCAGACGATATTTATTTACGTAGGGATTTTTTTCCCCGTGCTAAAAAAAATAAATAAATAAATAAAAACAAATTAATTCGTTTTAAATAATGGAAACTTTTTTTTTTTTTTTTGCTTTTCTTTTCGAAGAAAATTACGATTGGAAATTTAAAAAAAAAAAAAAAATTTAATATTTTTCTTCCAATGTTGGCAATTCCGATTTTATAAATAAATAAATTAAAAAACTTTTCGAGAAAAATTTTTTTTTATTTATTTTTTTCAATAATTAATAACTGATAACTTACAAAAAAAAAAAAAAAACAAACGAAAGGACACGAAACAACACGAAAAAACACGAAGGTCGTCATATTTTAAAAAAATCATAAAAGGAAAAAAAATTTTTTTTCTCCTCCATTTTTAAAATTTAAAAAAAGTTAACACTCGCGGGGAGAAAAGTGGGGAGAAAGTTCGAAAAGAGAGAAAAACATAAGAACGAAAGTGAAAAACAAAATCAATTTTCAATGTAACAAATTTATTTTATGACGTCATTAAATTTCGTTTATATCATTTTCGCGCAATGATTATTACGAACCTGATAATATTAATAATAATAATAACAATTTATTAAATTTTTTTTTTTTTGCTTAAAGTGCCACAAATTTAAGGCAACAGCAACAACAACAACAACCACAACGGGAGCAATATTTTATAAAAAGAAAACCGAAAACCGAAAGGAAAAAAAAAAATTTTTTTTTTTTTTAATTTTATGGTTGTTTAAATCCAGTCGAACAAACAAAAGAAAAGGTTTTTTACGGTTTAACAACTCGCCCACTCTTCAATTTTATTTTTTTTTTAATTTTCTTCTTCCACTTTTTTGTGGGAGTCATCGTCCTAAACTAGGTACCAGAGAATCCGGCGGAAAATTCTTTTTTTAAAATCCTTTTAATGCTTTCCAACGCATTCGTCACATATAATTTACAACGAAACCTTTTCTTTTATGCGTTATAATAAATTTTTCGACCGTTTTTTTTTAAAAAAAAAAAACATTTTTAATTATCGCCCCCCTCCCCCGTTTGTTTCGTTTGTTTGTTTGTCTGTTTGTTTTTATATAAATTTTTTAAAAGCTTTAAAAAAATAAAAAATCCGTGAAAATTGAAAGTTCGGAAAAACGAGGGGGCTGTAAATTAAAATTATTTCCTTTTTTTTACGCAAAATAAAATAAAATTAATTGCGTGTGTGCGTGCGTGCGTGAGGGGGAGAGGGGAGAGGGTGAAGGGAAAAAGACAGAAAAAAATTTGTGGAAAATCAATAAAAACCGATAGAGGAGAAAATGGAAAACAACAACGAAAACCGACGGATTCGACGACGACGAAGTAATTAAAAAACTTTTTAAAAAAATTGTCGTGGAAGAAGAAAAACTAAAAAAACTAAACTATTAATCGGTATTATTATTATTATTAATATTGCTGCTGCTGTTGCTGTTGCTACTACTACTACGTGTTTCGTGTGTGTGTGTGTGTTTTTTATTAATAATAAAAATTAATCCGTTAAAATATTATGTTGATGATGATAATAATAATAATAATAATATTGTGCAAAATTGCAGTCTATTTTTATCATTTGTACGAAGAGGCAAAAATATATATACATATATATATATAAAAGTGTAAAAATAGAATAATAATAATAATAATAATATTGCGTCAGACAAAAAATAAAAAAAAATTGAATTGTAAATTCAGGAACTGAAGCCATATTGGAATTAATTTTAGATTTTTTTTCCTTTTCCTTTTTTTCCTTTTTTTTCTTTTCCTTTTTTTATTCTGGCTTTTTCAGTTCCTAAAAAAAAAATTGAAAAGTGAATAGAAAGAATAAAAAAAAAAAATTTAATTTCGTGCCATTCCCATTCTTTAATTCAGTGAAGAGAATTTTTTTTTTGTGCGTGGGTTGTGTTGCGTTACCTCTGCCTGACCATTGATCAGGTAGATTCTGTTGACCGAGTGGGAGCCAATCAGTGTTGTCATCATCCCCCAAAGATCTCGGTTCGCTTCTTCTTCTCCCTCTTGTTCTTGTTCTTTGGGTATCGGATGTAAGCAAACATTTCCAACCCGAAGGTGGATCGTAGCGTCCTAAATAAAATCATCAAAATCGTTTCGTACAAACAACAAAAAAAAAATTTTTTTTCGAAATAATTATCATTATTATGTCAATTTTCCATCCATCCTTTCCCCCTTCGTTCTTCCATCCTTCCTTCCATTCTCCTTCCCATTCTCCCTCCCATTCTCCCAGCCATTCTTCCTTCCTTCCATCCTCCCTCCCATTCTCCCACCCATTCTTCCTTCCTTCCATCCTCCCTCCCATTCTTCCTCCCATTCTTCCTTCCTTCCATCCTTCCTTCCTTCCTTCCTTCCATCTTTCCTTCCAACCATCCATCCATCCTTCCTTCCATCCTTTCTTCCTTCCTCCCCTCCCAATAATTTTTTAAAATACTATACGTACATATGTAAATACACATCGATATTTAAATTTAATAATAATAATAATAATAACAATAATAAAAGTTCAGAAAGGAAAAAAGAAGGGGGGGGGTTTAAAAAATGCATGAAAAATAATGGAGGGAAAACTTTTTTTTTTTTTTTTTAAAGGGAATGCGGCGGGAAAATTTTCCCGGATCAGGAAAAGGGATCAATAAATATTTTAATTGCTCTCAAGTTAATATTTCTCCCCTCCCCTTCCCCTTCCCCTCCACCCCCTCATTTTTTTTACATACATAAAATCGACATTAATAATTTTTTTTTTTTGTACGCGCGTGTGAGGATCCCAAAGGTTGGAAACGTTGGAGGACATTTTTTTCCTTTTTTTTTTTTTTTTTTTTTTTTTTTCTATTCACTTGATTAATTTTCAAAATTTTAATAACGTATTTATTACGGTAATAATTTTTCTGTCTTTTTTACACCGACAAATAATAATAATAATAAGAATAATAATAATAATAAAAATTAACAAATATTTAAACATGTGATATTTATGGCTAAAAAAAAAACAATACGAATTCCTCATTTCCCGCCAAAAAAACGAACCGTGGGAAAATTTTGAAAGTAATTTAAATTTAAATTGATTCGTTTTATCATATGATTTTAATGAGTAACTAATTTCTTTTTATAAAAAAATTTTTTTCCCGTACGTTTCCGTTGTGTGGTGATAGTGGCGGTGGTGGTAAAACAATTTTTTTTTCTAGAACGTTCTAGAAAAAATTACGTTTTATGCATTTTTATATAATCGTTTCACTCTCTCTCTCTCTCTCTCTCTCTCTCTCTCTCTCTCTCTCTTTCCTTCCCCTTCCTTCCAGTAATATTGTCAATTAAAAGTTTTTAATTAAAAAAAAGGGAAAGTAGCCTTAAACTCCGTTTTTACAAAAAAAAAAAAAAAAAAATTTAAATTATTTTCCTTTGAAATCATTCCGACATTTTTTTTTTTTTTACTATTCATTACAAATTGTAATCGTAGTGTGAAAATATTGTAAAAGGAAAAAAAAATCCGGTTTTTAAACAATGAAAAATCTACAGAACGAAAAAAAAAAAAAAAAAAAAAAGAAAAATCAACGCGTTAAAAAACATGTTGTAATAAAAAATAATTCAAATGAATTTATCCGCGGCGTTGCATGTTTTCCTTTTTTTTTTTTTTTTTCCTACGTATAGCAGACGACAATTAAGGTCTTTTATTTATTTATTTATTTATTTATTTATTCATCTTAATTTTAAACGGTTACCGCAAACGCGTTAACGTAATTTTCAACTTACGACCTACCTTTCACCCCGGGTGTAAGTAATTGGTAATTTTAAAAACAAAAATGGCGTCGCATAAAAGTGAAAAATTTTTTTTTTTTTTTTTGTTTCTCGTTTCCGGTAATCATCGAACGATCCGTTATTAAAATTAGTTTTTTTAAAAATAATAATAATAATAATAATAATAATTTTTTCTTTTCCCCCCATCGTTTTCCGTTGTTAATGATCGTTTATTTCCGTTTTTACACAATTTTTTTTAAACCTTTTTCCTCTAATGCTTATTTTTTTTTTTTTTTTTTTATAAATTATTCGATGTAAATGAAAAGAAAAATAATAATAATAATAATAATAATAATAATAATAATAATAATAATAAAACTCGTATGAATTTTTCTTTCTACTGCTTCTTGAGAACCTTTTTTCAAATGATTTGACGTTTGAAGAAAAAAGAAAAAAAAAAAAATTAAATTAAAAATGAAAATAATTGTGAAAAAAAAAAAACCTTTTGAGGAAAACTCAACGATATGAAAACAAAACGATATGAAAAAAAAAAAATTATTATTATTATTATCATCATTACTTTTTATTGTTTTATTATTATTATTATTTATTTATTTATTTATTTAATTGTGCGATGAAAACCATTTCCTTCGTTTTTCAATTTTTTTTTTTATAAATCAGGTTGTTCAAAAAAAAAAAAATTAAATTCAAAGTGGATGTAAATGAATGTAAATGAATGGGTGTTCAAATGTTAATGTAAAACGATGCAATAATAATAATAATAATAACAATAATAATAATGATGATGATAATAAAATCGATACCACGAGGAAATAACAATATGTATCAAACAAGTGGGTAAAAAAAATTTAAAAAAGAAAAAATGGGGAGAATAATAATGTCATCACATTGAGTTAGTCTAGTAAATGTCAGTACACTTTAAACGAAACGTGGCACGAGACAATCATAAAAATAATACAATATAATACCTAATAAATGTTATATTATTAACGAACGATACCTACCGCATTATTAAAAAAATTTTAAATAATAATAATACCCATTACGTCAATTAAAAAAATTTAAATTTTAATTAAATCCTTATTACTATTATTATTATTTAAATGAAAAATCCCAATTTAAATTCTTATTACACGATATTTAAAAAAAAAAAAATTTTTTACGTAAAAAAAGCAAAAATATTGTCGTTCTATTGTTCGTTTGTTCGTTTGTTTTTTTTTTTTAATTTAATTTTATAAAACTATAAATAAAATATTAATTTCGATGGGGAACAAACACGCCACGCTACTCTATTTAAAAAAAAAGCCAAGGTAGATTACCGTCATTATTATTATTATTATATTTACGTCAATTAATTATTTACTTATTATTATTATTATTATTATTATTATTATTATTATTATTATTATTATTATTATTGGGTAATGACATAACTCTTATAATAAAAATTTAAATCAAATATTTTGTCGAAATTATTAAAAAAATTAAATAATTTATGTATATATGTTCCGCCATTTTTTTCTTCCTCCCCCTCCCTGTTCGAATCCCGTTTTCTTTTTTTTTGCCTTTTCCTCCTTATACACGTCTCGCGAGAACAAACTTTAAAACATTAAAAACATTTCTCTCAAGACAAGGAAAAAAAAAAAATAATAATAATAATAATGAATGCCGTAACGTTAATAAATTCGTACGCTAATTGATATATCGATTACTACAACGACGATGGTGATAATGATGATGATGATGATGATGATGATGATTAACAACAACAACTCGCGTTATAAAAAAAAAAAAAAAAAAAAGAAAAACTTACCGAATGGTAATTCGAATCTGCAATCCAACAGCAATGAATCCCCCGTCGGAGTTTTCGTTCCAACAACTTCACCATCTCTCATTACGAGTTCTGCATTTAACGATATCCACTGTCCGGTTCCTTCCTGTATTCAGACACCAAAATAATATTAATTTTTCACTTAATGAATAACAGTAATAGTAATAATAATAATAATAATAATAATAATAATAATAATAATAATAATAATAATAATTTTTCACCTCGTTCGAATATTGTATATCCCTTAGAGGTATATAATTGTAACCGAGTGCTCGATCCCAAATCATTCCTTTACTCCAAACCTCAACTAACAATCCTGTATTTACGTCGTTCGTTTCGCTGTGTAAAAAAAAAAAAATTAATTAATTAATTAAACAATCGATCTATCGATCGATCAATCGAATCACAATAAAAAAAATGAAGAAAGGGTTTTGATTACGTCATCCCCTTTAGTGCGAGAAACTCGCGTCAAAATTTAATAAATTCATTCATAAAAATTAATAAATACATAAATAAATAAATGAAGTTTTTTGTATTATTTATTTTAGAGTAATAACACGAGAGAATTTTTTTTTTTTTTTATTAAAAGGTCAAAGTTGACACGGTAACAACATCCGACGATTACTTTTCATCATACACGTGGGTAGAGTTAACCTTTTAAATCATGAAAATAAATAAACGTGGGTTGGTTTATTATTAAAAAATAAAAAGAAAAATTTTCTTTCATCTTTTCATACGCGTGTGTGCGCGTGCGCGTATGTACGTTTCCTTTAATTTTGCAGTCGAATCGACAAAAAAAAAAAAAAAAACAAAATTATTAAATATTTAAATATCAATTTAATACCTGAAATACCTTAAAAAGAAATAATAAAAAAAAAAAAAAAAAAAAAAAGGAAAATTTTTCTTTTCTTCTGTTTTTAAACAACCTTTTTTTTTTTTTTTTTTTTTTTTTTTTAAATGAAATAAGAAAAAGGAAAAACGATAAACCTTTTTGAGAAGAGAAAATAAATAATACATTTAATAAACATAAACTTTGACCTTTTTGTTTTCTTTTTGTTTTTTTATTTATTTATTTTCACTTGCATGTTTTTGTGTTTGTTTGCGACAAGTTTTTAATTTTTTTATTTATTTGTGTTTAAAAAAATATAAAAAAAAAAAAAGTAACAAACGACGACATTTTTCTACTACTCCTCATTGGAAAATTTTTTTCTCTTTTTTCTTTTCTTTAAATTTATCAATTAATAATAATAATAAGAAAGGAAAAGTAAAAAAATTTTTTTCACGATGAAACCCAAAAAAAAAAAAAAATTATATAAAAATCAAAGATTTTCCAATGGGTAGAAAAAGAAAAAGAAAAAAGGAAAAATTTCTCCAGTTTAAAATATCTTGGGAAATCGAATAAAAAAAAAAAAAAAAGGGGGAAGAAAAAGAAAAACTGAAATTTATCTCTGGAGAGTAAAGCTAAAAATTTGGATTTCATGTTATTATTTGATTCGAAAGGAAAAATTCCCTTTTTTACGTTTTCTTAACGTGGAAGTAGAAGAGTGCGTCGTCGTTCTCCACATTTTATACGTAATTTCCAGTCGAAAACAAACCAAAAAAAGAAAAATTCAACTCGCATTAATTCTAACGCCACTGTAAATTTTCTTATCGTCGTTAAAAGAAAAATTATTAAAAAAAAAAAAAAAAATTTTTCTTTTTTTTCCCCCTCCCCCTTATTTTAATAATGGCACCGTAATTTTCCAACTGGGTGAAAAACAAAAAAACAAAAAAACAAAAAAAAAATAAAAAAAAAAATTCATAATAATGAATGAATAAAAATAATAATAATAATAATAAAATTACTTCATTTACTTTTTTTATCGTTAATAAAAAAAAAAAATTAAAATTAATTTTCTAACAAAATAATAATAATTTTTTTTTTTTTAATTAATAAAATTTTTTTTCAAAGGCGTAGTAGTGCCTCAATGCAAATCTGCAACCCCCTTGCCCCCGAAAAAACCGCCCCCCTCTCAAAACGGGAAAACTTTGCATTTTTTTTTTTTTTTTTTTTTTTTTTGAATTTAATCAAGTAATTGATAATAATTCAAACTTTAAATTCCACGCGGAAAATCCGCCATATTTTCCACCCCACTCTTTTTATCATTATTATAAATGAATAATATAAACCCTCATATTTTATTATTATTATTATCATCATTTTGTCTTTCGAAAGTATCCTCCCCTCCCCTCTTTCTTCCTCCTCCCCCAACAGAAAAAAAAATTGAATTTTCAAAAATGCGAGTAAATAAATGAATAAGAAAATTAGTTAATTAATTAATTAATTGATAAGTAAGAAACGTTGTGGAAAAATAAAAAATAAAAAGAGGGGAGGAGATGGGGGAGGGTAGGGGAGAAGGGAAAAAGGGGGGGGGCTGGGAGAAAAGTTTCCCGATGAAAACAAATAAGAAATATCTGAAATAGTTTTTTTTGATAAAGGATATCACTTACAAAAGGAAATCCTGTTCCCAACAAGGGTTTGAACCCTTGACTGTGACCGTCGTGCTTTTGACATTCTGGAGTTTCAACGTGACATACGAATTGTATTGTTGAGCTTGAATTCCGGCATATCTAGCCTTTTTAACTAAATAATAATAATATTAATATTAGTATAATTAATAATACATCAAAAATTAAATAAATGAAAAAAATCGTGTGTGCGTGGGTGCGTGCGTGGGTGTGGGGGGTGTGCGTGTGGGTAGGTGCGTGTGTGTGTGTGGGTGGGTGTGCGTGTGGGTGGGTGCGTCTGTCGTGTTCTTTCTCTCTTCGAAATCCGTTGAAATTTTTTTTTTTTTTTTTTTTTTTTAAATCGATCTCTTTTTTAGTACGAATTTGTACAAATATTTTATTTTCGTATCCATCTTTTTTCATTCTGTGACATTTTTCTTTTTCTTTTTTTTTTTATGTAATCAATACGTTAATCTAATTTAAAGTTATCACGGAAAAAGCTTTTCCCGTTTTGTACTTACTCCGGGAAAAAAAAAAAAAAAAAAGAAAAATTATTTATTGTTTTCCACGTTGATGTTTTCTGATAACGATTTGACATGAGAAGAAAAAAAAAATAAAAAAAAAAATTTTTTTCACGTCACGTTAACCTTCGAACCTTCGTATGTGTTTTAATAATAATAATAATAAATTATTTAAATCGGGAGAGAGAGAGAGAGAGAGAGAGAGAGAGAGAGAGAAATATATAATTTTTTTTTTCGCTTAAAATTTGTCAGGTGGAAAAAACCTTTTGATGATAAGTAAAAAGTTATATTTATCATCGAGTTGCGACATAGTAATAATAATAATAATAATAATAATAATAATAATAATAATAATAATAATAATAAGCCATGCGCAACACTTCCCATTATTTTTTTTCTCTTTTTTTTTTACTCTCTCTCTCTCTCTACATATATATTTTAAGTATTACATTATTTTTTTCGCCGTTTTTAAATTTAAAAAGTATTTTTTTTTTAATTAATTATTACGAGGGGGGGGGGAAACACAAATAATATCCATTAATATTATTCACACGTGACGTCATACAAAAGTAAAAATAAAAAAAATGGCGGAAATCTCGGGATATATTTTAGGGGGAAAATCACGTCTCTTGAAAATTATTCAAAAAAGAAAAAGTGAGTTATATTAATTTTGTAATAGAGAATAAAAATCTTTTTTTTCTGCTGTTTAAAATGGCGGCAAAAAGGAAAAGCGTGTGTGAATGAAATAATAAGATTATTTCAAAAAAAACTCGAATCGAATGTAAATTACGAAAAAATTTTTTTGCGTCGCCATGATTGTTTTTGTTTTCCTTAGTGCATACTTGCCGAATCGGTTACAACAAACAAACAAACAAACAACACATTTGTTAAAATGTTAAAAAATTTATAAATTACCGGGCATTTTCGTGGGGGTGGGAGGGTAGGGGCGGTGAGGAGGGGGCGGTGGGGGGCGTTTCTTGAAATATTAACTCTCGGGGGGATTATTTTTGTTTAAAACGCTCAGACAACACTCTCGTATATAAATAAATAAAATAAAATAAAATAAAAAATTTATTAACTAGAAAAGTTAAAATCGTAAAAGGTTTTTCTTTTTTATTTTATTTTTTCCTTTCTCTTCTTCTTCTTCTTCTCCATCTTCTTCTTTTTCTTCTATATCATATTGAAAAACCGAAAAGTATTTTTTTTAAAAAAAAAAAGAAAAATGTCCGAATAAGAAGAAGAAGAAGAAGACGAAGAGAAAAAATCTATACGTCATGCAAAAGGGGTTGTTAAGTTAAGTTAAAGATTTAATGATGCGAGAAACTCAATACTTTTACTCATGATCAATCTTTGATTTATCTCGTCTTTCCTTCGTTCTTTCCTTTCACCCAATTTTAAATTTATTATTCTTATCATTATCAATAAAGTCCTTTATTTATTTATTTATTTATTTATTCATCAATAAATTATTTTAATTAATTAATTAATTAATTAAATTTACATTATTTTTTTCCCCTCTGCGTGTGTATGTGTGTGTCTGTGTCTGTGTTTTGTGAATAGTCATTTATTTTCTTATTATATTAACGTAATTATAATTAGTGGACGTCATTTTCAAATAAAAAAAGGGGGGAGGGAGGAGGAACAATAAAAAATAAAAAATCTTACCCGTAACGCTCAATAAAGCCATGAATTTATGCGAGTTTTCATCAAACCGCCAAATTATCACAGAATTTTCCTTTTTTTTCCTTTTTCCTATTTATCTATTGGCAAACTCCACGTGTTGTATTTTTTCCTTTCATCTATAAAAAAAAGGATTATTATTATTATTATTATTATTATTATTATTATTATTATTATTATTATCACAGTTTATTTATATATATTTATTTATATATCAATAAACTATTTTGAATTATGTTATAAAATAAATAAATTTCTTAAAGAATAAATGAAGGAGAAAAATTGTAATTGTGCGTTTGTGCGAAAGTGCGGAAGTGCGTGCGCTCTTTGAACTTTGATTTTTTATTTTATTTAATTTCCCTCCCTCCCTTCCCACCTTCCCCCTATTTATTTTAAAGAAAATTTTTTCTATATGTATGTATATAAATTAACAGGTGAGGATGAATAAATATTCCCTCGGGTCGCACTGCCTGCCAAAAATAAAAACGGTTATTCCCCCCTTTTTAAATTAGCGTGACGTAACACGCAAATTTCATTGTCCGATCCCCACGCTACGAAGAGGGAAAAAAACGAGGGAAGGGGAGGGAGGGGAGGGAGAAGAGGAAAAAAAATTTTCCGTCGCTTTTTTTAAAATTTTTTTATTTCTTTTCGTTTTAACGTTCAAGTATTTAATCTCTCATAAGTACATGCAATAAATTTTTTTTCTCCCAAAATTTTACTATTATTATTATCATCATTTTTGAGAGAGAGAGAGAGAAAGAATTTTTCGGGGAGGGGGAGGTTTTTTGGTAAAATCTTTGATTCTTCTCTTTATTTATGGTATTTTCAACTCGAACGCTAAATTAATTAATCAATTACAGAATTTTAAGAAAGAAGAAGAACAAGAGCAACAGCAACAACAACAACAACAACAACCTCCTCGTTTAATTCTTTTAAGTTAAAAATAATAATAATAATAAATTTTGTTTATTTTCAAAGTCGAAATTTCGCGACACAAAATTCACAATTCAAAAAACCGACTTTACAAAAAAAAAAAAGAAAAATTGAGAAGAAAAAAATTTTTTTTTTTAAGTTTGGATACTCGCACGTGGACAAAAAAACCAATAAAATCCAATTTTTTTTTTTTTTTTTAATACGTTTTTAATGATGAAAAGTCAACAATAAAATTACCACCACGTGAAAATAAATAAATAAAAAAAAAGGCACAAACGGTCAATATTTTCCCTCACAAACAAAATCACATAAGGAAAAAAAAATCACTAAAAACTCCGTCTCAACCGATTCCAGTTCAACATCACACAACAAACTGACTAATTTTCCAATCTATGAATCATTTTATAGTCTTTTTTTTTTGTTAGTTTTAATGGCGCCAAAACAAAATTTTATATGTTTGTCATAGAGTAACAAAAATTATATTCGATTCGAGTTTCGTTTGATTTATTAAAAACCGCGAAAAATTCACGTTTAATAGTTTACAAATAAACAAAACCGAAAACGAAACGAAAAGAAAATTTCAAGTTTGAACCTGCAAACCTGTTTAGTTATGTTATTGTTATTATTATTATTTATTCGATCCAGACAAACAAATAAATTAAATAATTGAAAAATGAAAATTTCGAAAATTATAAAAATTCAT